CTGCGAGTGAGTGAGGTAGGGCAGGAGAAGGAGGGAGAGAGATGAGAAGATAACAGTCAGACAGCAGCAGACAGTCAAAAAATGCAACAAACAATAAACCCATTTCTCTTCTTCCATGTTTCCCCCTGAAGGCAGCGAACAACGTCAGAAATAGGGGCTTTGTATAAACTTTGTTCAAACTTCAAAAAATGACAATAAACAAAAGGACGCCAGAGCTATTTGCTCTGTCAGACAGAAACAGTCAACAAAGGTTTAGAGCGCTGTGGCGCAGGCCCCGGGACAAAAGCCTCTTTGTCCCAGAGAAAGGTCTTGAGGGGGGGGGGGGGGGGTGGGGGAGGAGGGGAAGGTTGAGACGGGAGGTGCCAAGTCACTCAGAGCTGTTCAGGTCAATTAAGCCTAGTGTTTGAGCCACAGGAAATCTATACTAACACTCATTATAGCTCAGACAAGAATACTTGTGTGTGCTGGCCTGGAAACATACAGACTTCTCCTGTATTACAGAGTTCTGCCATATAGGCCCCAGCAGGGCATATGGAAGACATAAAGCCCACAAGGGTTAACTACATCTCAGACAGACGGACCGGCTGGACCCGGCGTGAAGCTACACCTACTTACCGTGGAGAATTAGGGTGCAGACAGGGAGAGGGAGGGTGCTGATGTGGGGCAGAAGGTGTGAGCCGAAAATACAGTAAGAAAGGGGGATTTACCTCGTTTGAGAAACAAAGGTGACCGTGCCAAATTATGTAACTGCTTTAATTTGTAGGAGATTAGCTGTTGAACGTGTTTTTAATCAAAGTGTGTAACAGTGGCATCGTCAGACTCACAGCTTAATTACGTTCCAGCTCCCCAACCTGCGCCCAGCCAGTCTGCCTGCCTTGCTCTCTCATTAACTAAATCTAATAAAGTCTTTGGAGGAACAGGCATCTTGAAATGAATCCACTTATATCGCTTTCCTGGGGGCCACCGCCATCTCCTCGAAGATAAAACACAGTCTACTGTACATTATCAGCCACAACGCTTACATTGAATAATTAATCTTTGAGAGCAGTGGAAATTAAGAAAACAGAGACGCTTCTCCGTTAAAGCCACAGGCAAAATCTCCGTACAATGTTTGCTTTGTTTTTCGTCAGTACTCCTTCCTTCCATTTCTACACTGACAATTAAGTATGCAACAATTGATGAAGTACAAAATGAAATATGCAATTGATATGACTATCTAAAACATATATGTAGATGACCATACATTCAATATTGCAATACAACTAACCTATTATCTTAATTTATAAATTGGTGAATATCCGTTCCTAATGAGCAGAGCACAGGATTCGGACTCCTTTCAAAAAGCAGTTTTTGCTTTAGAATATTTTGCTTTGAAAAAATCTCCTTCTTTAAGAACCCATTAAAATTAAACACTTTTTCATGCAATATTTATCCATGAAAAGAGAAAAGAAAAGGAGGTCACCTTTGGGTCACTGAGATGCATGCCATGCCCAAATGCCAGATGCTGACTGTCACTGTGCAGTCTGCATTGACTAAAACACAAGAGATTCAGGCCAAAACCTCAAACGTTGCTGCAAAATGTTTTTTTATCAAAGCTCTCTGGTACCATTACCATTTCATTTCTCAGGCTCATCGATGTGGATTCAATTTCTGGGGTGCCTGAAGGGCCCCTTTGTGTTTTACAGTTTTTTTCACCTTGCTGCCAGGGTAACAGGATACATATCATGTGCCGATACAGTACATTTGATTATTTAAATCAAATCAAAAAATGAACCCGATCCCATCCAAGATAAGACAGTGACGGCCCGTCCACACAGCGGCGTGCGTTGAAGCTTGCCGGCGGGGGGGGCTGAAACTCGACCAACAACCAATCACATGAATCTCCCGCCCCGGACACACAAGCACGCGGTTTGATTGGCTAGAGCTTGTACTGGCATATGATTCGATTGGCTGACGCTTCCGCCGAAGCTTCAAAAGTTGAACATTGCTCAACTTTTGCAGCGAGCAACGCTTCTGAAGCTACGCTTCGCTCCCACAATGCAGTTCGGCGAAACGTGACGTCACCCCATTCAAAGTGAATGGGCAGAAGCGTTGAAGCTTCAACGCACGCCGCCGTGTGGACGGGCCGCGAGGAAGAAACATTTAAATGGAAAGAAAGGTGATGGCAGATAATGATGATTTAGTCTTCAGCTATATTTCCTAAAGTTCTCAAACTTGCTAATCGAACTTTGTTTATATCTTATTATACAAATTCGAACTTTATATTAAAAAGACAAAACTTAATCAAAAGCTATTAAATCAGAGGATTACTTGGCGGATTTAGTGTAATCCCGTGGGTTATTTTACAGCCTGCAATTTTGAAGCAGCTCATGAGCAATCTGTAATTGACTGCGCCATAATTTTCGACAGTAACCTTCCCCTGTCCTGTGCCTCTCTTCTCCTCTCTTGTCCTCTCCTCTCCTCTCCTCTCTTGTCCTCTCCTCTCCTCTCCTCTCTTGTCCTCTCCTCTCCTCTCCTCTCTTGTCCCGGTGCTGACAGTGACCTCGAGGGTTGAGGGCTTCCAGCCGCACGCTTTTTGGTTCCAGCTGAGATTAGAGGGAGCCAAGCGATGAGGCGTCCCTCAAACATCCTGACTAGAGATGGAGAAGGACAATGGAGCGGCTGTGTCTGTGTCAACACCAGCTCTCTAAACACACACATGTGCAAGGAGACCCCCCCCCCCCCTCCTTTAACTCCAACATGCTCACACAAACACACACATGGACCCTTTCCCCTCTTCACCACCGCACCTGAACTCATATTACAGCACTCCCCTCTGGTGTGTGACTCACAGCTATATAACTCTCTTCAAGAGACTACAAAGGTGGTATTGTATGTTGTAGACCATTAACTACAAATCCAATTAAGTTAACGTCATTGCAGACCATTTTCAAAAGCAAACCTGACATTTTATAATTGATTTTCTATCTTCCAGACAGCCACTGGTTTCCGTTTATCTATTGACCTATGAAAATCAACTTGCAGAGTTGCTAATCTGTTTGAAATACAAGACGCATCATAGGCAACAATAGATTGACTAAACTTCCTGGCAAAATGACGTTATTGTCGAAGTATATTCTGACATGTGACATCCTTACTGAAAGGCTTTGCATTAAAATAATACTAATAATTGGAGTTAGTTGATATCAACACCAGCGCTGAAACAAACAATAATTTATTAACTGATTAATCTGCTGATGATTATCTTGATTCATAGTTTAATCAATTGGTCTAAATAATGTTAAAACCCTCAAGATATTCAATCTGCAATCCCCACAGAGAAGCTGCAACAGGATACTTTTTGAAAAGTTGGTAAAAAAATGATTAACAATCAAACTATTAACGTCCAATTGTACCAATATCTTTTAAGTATCTGCCATTTTCTTGTTATGACTGTTCAAAGCCTGAAACACACAGACAGCCTCCTGACCTAGAGGCCATAAACCGAGGTCAGATTTCAAGACAGTTCATGCCCACCAAGAATAGTTCAGACTAAACAACTGACCGAGTTCACGCTGCCGTTCTGTTGGAGCAAGACTGTAGCAAAGATCTAAAATACAACCTTAATGCAGTTCAGAGTGAATATGATTATTAGATGGTGCAAATTAACATTTTACGTGTAAAATAATGTATAGGAATTAAACATATTTGAAGTGTTATGATCATTTGAGATCAGGTGAATTTCCATGTTTTGTTAAAACTCATAACAAAAGTGCAAAACAACTCCTTGTAGTTAAAATACTTGTAAGTTAACTTAGAATTGTCTTCTGTACCATAAGTGTTAATCCATTTATCTATTGCATTAGTTACTTTTACATTTAATTTTGAGTGTTGAACCACTTACACCACCATGTTTCACACTGGGTCAAACACAATGAACAGAACACTAATGTCTGCAGCCTTGAGACAATTCAAACTTCATAATGACTCCCTAGCAGGGTTTTATTGTACCTATGGATGGTAAAACAACCATCTCCGGATTACTTTGATACTGAAAAAGACCTAAGGATGTAATGATTCTCAGAAAAGCCAAACTGTGATAAGGATGTCCCTTTCTTTGACTTTTAAGCAGATTTATGGACGTTAATTTGCGAGGGACATTAAATCTCTTCCTCTGCACCCCAACAAATCTCCAGCACTCCCCTGGGGAGACTAACAGTCTCAAAAAACCTCAGATCTCTGCCAACCACTGGATCCAAATCGAATCGGTTTAAATGAGACTCAAATTTGTCTTGTGGAAACAGGTCTGTCCTTGGATACTGTTCACAAGGGACGTCATTTACTGAAATCCAACCAAAGATGTTTTGCTGCAAGCCCTTCTCATTCCCATCTTTTTCTCCCCCTCAACTGTAACCCATGAGTCAATCATGCTCTGCACAGCACAGTGCTTTTACACAAAGAATAAGGGTCTACTGTTTTGTGGCTATGCTAGCAAATGTACAAATCCGTATGATAGTTAGAAAAACTAAATAACAAAAGCCTTTGACAACCAACAAGTGCAGAACATTGGTTTCAATGTGAATCACTTGTCGGGGGCTTTGCATTTCCCGAAATTCACTGAGTAGGACGGAAGGTATGCGAATATCCTCTTAGACAGAAATATGGAGTCACTGTAATAGGATGAAAACAGACACAGAAAGAGCTGAATGATCAAGACAAGACAGTTGACCAAGTGAGCATGGGCAAGAGTGTGAGATAGTGTACAGGGGTCTCCGTCGGACATGGAGCCATGCGTAACCATGAGAACACAGGGGCTTTGTGGGGAAGAATGTCGTTTTCATAACAGCGCATTTCTTCTGGGGTAACTGAGGGCCAGCTGTGTCCATCTGCAGGGCCTTTGTCAAACTATCTAGTACTTCTTTAGCAGTAAAGAGAGGAACCGATTAGCATGCACCCCACACCTTTTGCCACCACCCCTCTTTCCACAAACTAAATGCCTGCACGTCCACCCTCCTCTCCAC